CTTGGCGGAAAATTGAAATCAAAATCGCCTTCTGAGGGCCCAAGTAATATATGTATATATTTTTTTTGGGCTGCCGATAAGGCCACTGTGGATGTGGAATCTAGACCAGTTTTCAGGCACACAGAGCACCGGGGATTATCGCAGTCTGTGGGTCGGCAAAAGGTTAATCAGGCGATAATATAAGGCGTACTATTCCAATTCGGATCGTATGGAATATGCTACTCAGCGTCGGCTCAATTTGGTTCTTATTTGTTTCGGGACCTTTGGTGGCCTCGAATTCCCTTTCCATCCGGTGTTTAGTGATAATGAGAATACCCCTGGACATGGACATGGCAACGTGTCCAAAAAAAATTAAAGAAAAACGAATATATCTTCTTTTGTACAGAAAAGAAAAAGAACAACACCTTTGACAAACCAAAATCAAACACACACATTTTCGTGTCTCTAATGGTGTCACACATGCATTTTTCATGCCCAACTTTTCAGTATTATTTTTATTTCTGGAACGCCACTGCAGGCGCTCTGGCTGCTGGTTTATTTATAAATTATATTATTTTTATTTTTAATTATATGCAAGTTTTTTTCTTTCTTTATTTTTCGAGTATTTTGTTGGCTGATTATTCAAAGAGTTCTCTACTCACTTTTCCCTTGAATATATCTTAGATTTCGTTTCTCAGGACACTTCACTGTACTTTCACTCACTCTATATAGCTTTACCGTTATGTTTTGCGTCGTTTTTTCGAAATAGGAACAACCGTTGCACCTCGTGGCGCTGCCGCAACTGACAGCCGAGCGGCAAGCATTGAATCTTTTATTGGAAAAATCTCTCAGATAGAGAATGACAGAGAGTGAGGGAGATCTCGAACGCAGAGCACTAGAGAATCTTTGAGAGATTCGCTTATCACTTGGGTTCTCTTTTTTGGGAATTTCCAAAATAAAAACCGAAAAATGTATATCAGAAAGAAAAGAACAAAAAACATCCATTTGCTACGTCATGGCCCAAACGGAAAGCCGGTCCGGTTTATGAATGGCATCGAATCGCATTAGATCTTAATGACCTCATATTCCACTAAATGAATCACAAGCCGGTGGCTCGCTGGTTTAATTTTGTTTGCACTCCGAACGGGCAATAGATCAATATACGACTGAAAGTAATGAATATATGCGTGATCTCATGAGAGCTACAGGCATTGCAGTTGTGATTCTCATGGAACGCTGTATTACATGACAGATTGGGGGGTTTGCGTGGGTTTGTGTTTAACGAGTGTTTGGGTGTCTGTCTCTGAGGTCTGTGAGTGATTCAAAACAATTAGACAAGAAATATGCAAATTAAAAAGTGACCTTGGAGGCCGGCCACCTGACATTTCAATTGAATTTGATAAGACGAAAATTAGAGAAACCGCAAGGGGTTAAACCGGAGCAGGTTTTTCAGCATCAGCATCAGCATCCTGGCTGTCACTTAGAATTGGACTAATTAGCATTCAACCACAAGATGATTAAACAATATTTGGAGACCACTGTGGTGTATGATTTGGGGCTTATATTTCATGGAATTGCGTGCCAAAAATCATCTTGATTGCATGATTATAAAAGATAGCAAATAGAGCCACTTCTTTCCCTCACTCTTCTCAGAGCCCACAAAACATCAACAGGTATCCCATTGGTCGAAGCATTCTTTCTTTATTTTCTTTCGTTTCTTTTCGTTTTCTTACCAGGAATCCCCCAAAGCACCCCATTGACTACAGAATTTCAAGTACTCTTTGGCCAAAAAAAAAAACAAAAAATACTTTCAAATCTCAAAATCATTGACCGACCGACCACATTATGTTTGGCTCGACGAAGAGCTGTGTGAGATATTGCTTGTGACACCATGTCACAATACGTTCTTCTAAAATCAGAAGATTTAAAAATAAAATGAAAACAACAAACAATTATTTAAATTTAGTAAATTACGAGTGTTACTCATCAGCTGAGAGCAGACACTCAGGGAGTTCTTAGGAAAAATGTAAACAACAAAAAAAAACGCAAAAATAATAATTAGCCAATATCCGGTTTTTAGGCAAATGAGCATTTTTTCGAGTTCAAATTCAAATTCAAAACAAGATGTACTAGCGCCATCTATCGGAGTTGGTGCTGCAAAACGCTTAATCAAAGACCGCAAAGTTTTTGAATGTTCACCCCTTTCTAGGTCGCACACCGTGCAAATTATTCGATATGTATCGAATAACGCTAATAAAATATTGCTATAAATATCGCTTCATGTACTCACCTTGTTGTGCTAACACACCCATGTAGCACATGTAGATATCACGTAGAAATCTAGCCCTATTTTGTTTAAATCAATTTTTTAAAAAATTGGAAATAAAGTGAGTGTTTAAAAATTAGCCAGTATAGTAGAAAATTGATTCGTTTTCTACTAAAATTATTTGTTCAGTGCTAAATGTCCTAACTAGTCAGGAACACCAAACAGAATATAGGAAAAGTAAAAAAAAAATAACGATAGAGACAAGAAGAAGAAGAAACACAAAATACGTGGTGTTTGGTTTTCGCCAGAAACTTGTGGAAATAATAGATTAAAACACGCCTCAGAATTAGTGAGAAATAGTTGAAAATGTACCTGCTGTGCAACGTAGCCAAAATTCGTGTAAAGCATAAACTGTCATAGGCGAGAACGGACCATGGCCATGACCATCCTTCATGCCAGCGAGAAAGTGAACGCGGAAGCGGAAGCCACCACCTGTCCACCCACTGAGAAGGTCAAAGAAGAACAACAGCAACAGGAGCAGCTGCAACATTCCAAAACATCAAAACGCGTTCAATTCTATCGTTTTGCTTTGTTCTTCATTGCGGGGAGCTTTGCTGCTTTCTCCTTTCACGCACTGACATCATCCAGCAGCTGGCGGCTGCGACAATTGCATCATCTGCCCAATGCCCACTATCTGCAGACGAGGGAAGAGTTCGCTGTGTACTCGGTGGAGGAGTTGAACGCCTTCAAGGAGTTCTACGACAAGAGCATTAGCGACAGCGTTGGGGCCAGCTATTCGGAGGCGGAGCAGACCAACATAAAAGAGGCTTTGGGGGCGTTGCGCCTGGCCCAGGATATGCACCTGTCGGGAAAGGACGACAAGGCCTCGCGATTGTTCGAGCATGCCCTGGCCCTGGCGCCCAAGCATCCGGAGGTGCTACTGCGCTATGGGGAGTTCTTGGAGCACAACCAACGCAACATCGTGCTGGCGGATCAGTACTACTTTCAAGCCTTAACCCTTTGTCCCAGCAACTCGGAGGCTCTGGCCAATCGCCAGCGAACGGCAGAAGTGGTGCAAACACTCGATGAGCGGCGCTTGCAATCCCTGGACTCTAAGAGAGATGCGCTGTCCGCTATACACGAGTCCAGCTCTGCTTTGCGTCGCGCCAAGAAGGAGGCCTACTTCCAGCACATCTACCACTCGGTGGGCATTGAGGGCAACACCATGACACTGGCCCAGACGCGATCCATTCTGGAGACTCGCATGGCCGTCGACGGCAAGTCCATCGATGAGCACAACGAAATCCTGGGCATGGATCTGGCCATGAAGTACATTAATGCGAGCCTCGTGCAAAAGTAAGACCCTAAATGCATAATATTTAACCATTTCCTAATGGAAATCATCTTTCAAAGATTGGAAATAACCATCAAGGACATTCTGGAGCTGCATCGACGCGTTTTGGGACATGTGGATCCCATAGAGGGCGGAGAATTTAGACGAAATCAGGTCTATGTGGGTGGCCACGTGCCGCCCGGCCCTGGGGATCTGGCCCTGTTAATGCAGCGTTTCGAGCGGTGGCTGAATTCGGAGCACAGCAGCTCCCTTCATCCTGTAAAGTGAGTGCAGAAACCTCCAAACTTACGGAAGTACTCAAAACTATGTTTTATTCATAGCTATGCTGCCTATGCCCACTACAAGTTGGTGCACATACACCCCTTTATCGATGGCAATGGACGCACTTCGCGTCTCCTGATGAACACGCTGCTGATGAGGGCTGGCTATCCGCCCGTAATCATTCCCAAACAGCAGCGCAGCAAGTACTACCACTTCTTGAAGCTGGCAAATGAGGGAGACATACGCCCCTTTGTGCGTTTCATTGCGGACTGCACCGAAAAGACGCTGGACCTGTATTTGTGGGCCACCAGCGACCTGCCCCAACAGATACCCATGCTCATCCAAACGGAGAGTGAGGCGGGCGAGCAGCTGGCACAGATGAGGTCTCCACACATCTCCGCTCAAAGCGCATCAATACCGGAGTTTTACGAGTTCTCCGGCTCCGGCTTCCAGCCCTGACACCCCCTGAAACCCCACCAATTTCTTAGCCAATTTCTTCAGCTATTTATATTTCTGTATATTTTTAATTAGCAAATAATCTGCTCGAAATGCCGTTTTTGTCAGACTGTGATCGTATTTAAGCTTAAAGAACTAACCAAAAAACAACAATCTGCTGCGACAGATTATGCAAATCAGTGCAGAAACAAAATCAATCAGTAGTGCTCTATATAAACTAGGTAGCAATTTGTATTTGTATGAACCCAAAGAATTGTGGCGTTTATTCCAAGTTTAGGGGAATCACGTGTGGTTCCTGGACAACGTGTAAATATGACATATCCTAAGAAACTGATTTTATACTGTAGTTTTTCTTTAAGGGTGTTCCAATTGAGAGATAAGAGTGTTCTTGGGAATAGTTTTTGAGCTGTGGATTGGGAGTCCCCCAAAATCTAGAGGCTGAATCGCTGAAAGGCAGTAAATGTCATTTGTGGGCGGATTTTTATGGAATAAAACCAGAGATATAATAGTAAGATGCATAATTGAAATTCCCATAAATTTCAATAGTACACGATTTTTGTATGCTGCCTTCAGATTCTCTTTGTTAAGATTTGACCTTCTCTGGCCATAAATCAAAACTTTTCGAAAGGAACAACTTCTAAATTGTTAAGTTTTGATATTGGTTGAACCCAAAACTGGCATAAATTTGATCTTTTTTGTGTCATAATGTATTTCCTATAATTCTGGAACGTATTTTATAATGTAATTAACATCGCTTAGCGATCAACAAATCATCATCGAACTTAAGTAACTTATTATTGCACATTTGTGAATGTAAAAATGGATTTAAGTGGAGAGAGAGGGAGCCAGACCCCTTACAACTTGGCGCGCTTCAGATAATCCTTGTAGGTGACATCGCGCCACCATTCGGGACGTTCAAAGACACCAGGAGTGGACACAATTGTCTTCTGAAGATGCTGATAGATCTGAAAGGATAGAAAGAACACATTAGCAATGGCAGACACGGTAGTATAAGGAGTCATAAACCTTACATTGCCATCACTCATGCCCAGCGGCGAATTGAGAATAAAGTCTGTGGGTGCAATGGCATCGATCAGGGCGATAGCCTCATCCTTCAGGATTGGCAGAAGCTGCAGAATACCCTGCTGGTAGAGCTCAATGTGCGGGCTATCGCTGAAATATCCGCCCTGATAGAATATGGCCGAGTACTTTGTGACCAAATGGGCGCCATAGAATGATAGCAGCTGCTGCAGCACCTGCTTTTCAGCAGAAGCCGGCAGACTGTTCACAAACTTGTAGAACACATAGTAGATGGTTCGCTGAAATGGGTTACAAGACAGGTCAGATGATGCTCATTCCAAAGGTCAGACTCCTAGACACTCACCTCGCCATAGATTATGGAGAGCTTCTGGGCGGCAAAGACCTGGATGTTGTTGCGAGTCTCGAAGGCGTCCTTGCCCTCGCGCTGCAGTTGCTCGGCACGCTTGACAGTGGTTTCCAGCTGCCAGGCGGTGAGCCAGTTAAGAGCCTTCAGGAGATCTTAAAATGGACAAAGATTAATCCATGATAATATACGATTTTAAGCAGTCGTTGACTCACTGCTTGCATCCAATGCCTGGGCCGGCGTGCGCTCCTCGGCCTTGGTGTGCAGAATGCTGTTAATGTCGCTCAGGAAGGACACCGTTTCTAGCGGAGACACAGCCTTGAAATCGGCATTGCCACGACGCAGACTGATCAACCAATTGGAGGCCTGCTGAATGAGCGTGTTGTTCTCGCCCTCGTATGTGCAATTGGCATCATTGTCGTTCCTCAGATCACCCAGACCTGCAGCCTTAAGGTAGCCATGTCCGCCGCAGGCCTCGCGACACTCCTGGATGCCATCGCGGGCAGCCCATGTGGCCACTGGCTTGAGGGCCGACGAAATGGCATGGATTTCCATGCCCGCCTTCGAGGTATCCTCGCCAGTGAAGCCCTTCATGGTCATGTCCACGTTTTCCTTGCCAATCCACAGCGTAGCCACACGCAACGCGATTGTGGTGGCCAAGTGGGGAATGAGACGGTACTGCTGCGACTGGTACTCAATCACGGGCCACTCCGTCTGACTGTTGTTGGGTCCGAACTGCCTGCGGCTTGCCCCATAGCGGGTGGCTATGGAGACGGCCTTGCTCAAGGCCACATACGTGATGGCTGTGATGTTGACTCGTCCCTGGGAGAGGGCGCCCAGCGAGGCACCCAGTCGCTTGCGCTCATCCTTGATAGGACTGTTGTAGTTGCCCTGGGCATCAATGTCGCCCGCCTTGGACAAGAGGTTCGCCTTGGGAATGCGATACTGATTGAAGCTCACAAAGCTACAAAAGGTTTGGATTAGAGTCGGATGATAATTGCCGTAGCAGACGGAACCTACCCGTTGTCAATGCCATTCAGGCCGATCTTCTCGCCCATGTCTCCCACTGTGACGCCCGGGAAGGGCAACAGCGTGCGCTCATCACGAATTGGCACCAGGAAGGCCTGCAAGCCCTGATGCTTGTCGTCGGGCACAAACAGCTGCGCATAGACTATGGCATGGGTGCAGGTCTTGCCGAGATTACCCACCCAGCACTTGGATGCCTCGAAATCAGGTGTGTGAATGATGAACTCCTTGGTCTTCAGGTCGTAAGTGGCACGGGTGCGCATGCCCAAAGCATTGGTGCCGTGCGAGAACTCTGTGAGGGCATATGCGCCCAAAATCCGATTATCGGAGATCTTAGCAATGTATTTGCCCAAACGTCCCGACCCATTGGACACCAGGGTGCTGGGGAACATGCCATTGGAGAGCCCAAACTTCACGGAGCTGCTGAAGTCATAGCTGAAGATGGCCTGACCAAAGGCCAACAGAAGATGAGGTGTTCCCAAATACTAAAAAGCGAGAGAGATACAATTATTTCGAATTGAATTTGCTATTATTATCTATGACGTGTTCTTACCTCATTCACACCAAAGAAATGCTGCTCCCAGAGCAAATGCTGCCGCTTATTGGCCAACTCCCGAGTACGCTCCAGTGTGGCCACCTCCGGCTCCCTTTGATAGTCCGGGTGCTGCTCCATCCATTGCCATACCTTGTGCTGTGTCGAAGGTGGGATGTAAGTTCGATTAGTCAACGACCCAGATAAGAAGGCTTCGCTAAGATTAGGTGGCGGGTTAAGTGCACTTTTTCGTTCAGATAACACCCAAGACAGGAAGGCAACAGCACAAAAAGAGACATTGTACTTTGTACCCGCACCACAGAAGCGATTGCTCCACATTTAATGCTAGGCTAAGCTGGGCATGGCAATTAAAATGTAATTAATGTCGGTGATTACCTTCAGTCGAATGTGCTCTTCGCCCTCCAGGAGCACGTTCATCCGCTTGTAGCAGAAGCTGGCCTTCTGTCTGTAGACGTCCAAGGGTCCGCTGCGGAACTCCGGAAAGATCTTCTTGTCGTCGAAAATGTTCCCCACCTGCTGGCCATTATCCGCTTCGCTGTAATAATCCGATAATGAAGTTAAAATCTCATTTATTTGATTGACGGCAGAATGCTCGTCTTCGGTGCTGGCCATTGTCGTGGAGATAGTACTGGTCGATTGGTCGACAATGGGCTAATCGTTCGTTGTCAATGATCGAAATCATATTCCTCGATTTTTCTATTTGGTTTAGGATTACTAGCTATATAGGACCCTCAGCCCTAAACACACAATTTTATCCCATTGATGATTCAATTTTCTACAAGATTGGCTAGTTTGAAATGCTTTCTTTAATTTGATTTTGTCTAAAAAAAGGTTTTAGAACGGTCTTCGGCGCTGCAATTGTTGAAATTGCGAGTACTCACTTGATTGCAACCATGTCTATCGCTATCTCTTTCTTTTGCTCCGTCTTTTGTGGGATGTGCTAACGGTCACGGCTCTGCTCGAACTGTTTTGAAAGTTAACAAATGCCGAACTATTATTGGAAAAAGGTCGAAGGAAAGTGGCCAGCGATAAGATTTACCAAGCTTATCCGACATTCATGGCCAGTCGGCCGGGCCGGCTATGAATTGCCTCTTCAAGGTGGGCATCCGCCTTGGATAAGATAAGAGAGCCCAAAACATGGTAAAGGCCCAAAACCCATATCACATTGTTGTGCACTTGTTCGTTCGGCAAGGAACGGCAGCTGGTTTTTAGTCTATTTTTACAAAATCATAAATTAAAATGGTTATCTGAGCGAATATAAGGAAAAGAACATATCGATATTTGTTGTTTCAGTGTTGCATTACAGCTACAGACATTGGCGCGTATTCAAATTTGGTGTGAAAAGGAAAGCAGGGTGCGATTACGTAGAGATAGTGTATGTTTAATCAAACACTTGTGAAGTTTCTTTTAATTATCTTAAATAGTAAAAAAATATAGGTTTTTACGGCAGGTAAATGATTGTCGTTGAACTTGGATAATTGCAGACTGTAATAATTGGATAAGTGATATTTTTAAATAATATTAACCAAAGAAAGTATTTATCTAATAAAAACTGGAGCTACGACCATTTATTTCTATGACAGATATTTCGTAAATCGACTTTTAATGCGACTTAATTGAGCTTCAATTTGTAAGCTTTCCTTGTGGTATCTTTAATAAATCTGAGGTGGTTTGCATTTCCTGCAACTATTTTATTTTGCAGTATTCCAATAGCTGCGGATCCGTCAAGTTAACAAGAGGCTCTGTGCCAAATTAGGCACTTATACTTACTAAATTTAGAACTAGGAATTCCTATTACAATCCGTTCCACCTGATTGTTTTCCCAGTATTTGCGTCACAGCCAAATGACAGGACAGCACTTTGACAAATGCATTTTTAATTGATCTAATCGGTTTTTATTGATGATGCCATATTTATTATTACTATTACGACTTACACTTAGTTAACATGCAATGCGCGGTCTATCGGTCTTGCGTTTCTTGGCGTTTTTTGTTCAATAAATTTCTATTCCTCTATTTAGTGATTATCATGTTTCTTAAGTCATAAATATTGATTTCGTTTGCAGCTAATTTGGAGCACAAATTAAAATTGTATGTATATATTGTATTGTATTGTATTGTTGTACTCAAGTTCTGTGTGTATGCTTTTTAAAATCATTTTTGAAATCCTCTAAACGGTACGATTTTGAAGAATTAAACTATTTAGGTAACACGTAGTCGTTAGTCATTGATTAAATAGATTTTTGTTTGCTTGTAAATCTCATAATTTCTCTTCCGCTTGCATTTGCATTTGCATTTGATATAAAAAGCATTATAAAATGCAGCTACAGCTGCAGCTGTTGTTCCTACCAAAATATTTACGTAATTTCTAAGTTTAATTTGCGTTTAAGCTGCTAAATATAATATATATACTTGCTAAAATATATACTAATTGACAAATTGGTTTTTGCGAAATGAATGTTGCGTCGTGAGTGATATATTAAAATTTCCATCCTCGGGTTACAACCGTACGTATGAGAGTCACATAATTTCTTTTTGGCTTAAACTAATCAAGTATTGAGATATTCGTGTGATTATATTCGTAGATATACAGAATCGTTTGCGGTGCAAGAAAGAAACGTTGCTAAATATAATTTAAGAACCGAAACTAAACATTTTGCTAAATTAACTAAAGATTAAACTAGAACTAAACTATAGAAGAGATTGCAGCTGTGGTGTGGTGTCCGCTTAAAAGAATATATCCGGCGTGTCGTACAGATTGAGGCTCTTCTCCATTAACGTCCCTGACAGCAGGTCCGCCGCCTCCAGGGGCTCCTCGAGCGGTGACGGGCGTGCAGCAGCAGCAGCACCCCTTCCACCCTCACCATTCGTCTCATATCATCGACTCTGCACTGAGCTGGCTGCCGACGAGTTGGAGGAGAAGGCCGACTGCAGGCTGGTCATCGAGCCCTTGTAGTTGACAGAGCTAAGGACCTCATAGAAGAGGTTCAGCTGTGCCCCCGACGGACTGAACCAGTGCATCAGATAGCTGTCGTTGTGGTGCATCACATGCGAGCCCTGCACACTCTCCTTGTGCCGACAGATGAGGGTGGGCTCCTCCCGGAAGTAGTTGGTGCCCTCGACAAAGTCCTGCAGATCAAAGTAGGAAACAGCATCATCTGAGGGAGGGAGAAAAAATAACATTGAAAACTCCTTCAAATGGAGAGGGGTAGGTGTTTCTTATACCATTCTTCTCTGGCAGCTCCTGGGTCACGCGATACAGTGTAAAGTGCAAGTCGTTGCGCATCACATCAAAGTCCCATGTCAGCACACTCTTGGGGTCCTCGTTGCGGATGAGCAGCTCGTGGCTAAATCCAGGCTTCAGATCCACACTCTTGTACAGATTCTGATGGTCATGCTGATGGTTGGCCGACAGGCGCTTCATAGGTGCCAGAGCCACTGGAGCCAATGAAGCCTCGGCACTGGCAGTGGCAGTGCCAGGCGAGGCAATGGTCACATCATCATCATGATCCTCCAGGGAATTCGCCTTGTAGAGGGTCTTTGGCACCAGTCCTCCCTCGTGTATCATCGTCTGGGAAGCATAAAGCAGACGTTTTATTTATAGAACTTTATAGTGGCTGAAAGGAAGATCTATCTTTGGCTAGAAGTAAGCGTTTAAGACAGTTAAAGACAGTTTCAACTGAGACAAAGTAGACACGGACATGAGGACATGGGACATGGGACATGGTTTGCGGATGTCAATGCTAAGCAGCAGCGGCAGAGCGGCGCACATATGTATGGACTTGACACAGTTCGCAGACAGAAAAACACAAAAGAAAGACGATAAAGGACACAAAGAGTGTAACAAAGAGTGTGTAAAACGAACGATGGACAAAGGAATATACTATACTGGGCGGTGACATGACACATGACATATCGCAGAGAGCGCAACGAGAAAGAGTATTTATAGTTTGGAGGAGCTGCTTACACAATCGCATTTAGCTAAATAACAATGCGTAAAGTATTTCTGACTGACTTGCTCCGACACATGCGCCACAGTCTGCAGCAAACCGCAGAGCCGCGAAAGAGGCGATAAATGTTTACAAAAAATATACAAACAAATAAATAACGAATCAAATATACTTGTATCTACACTGCCGTTCCCAAACAAACTGCAAAACTACATATCGAAAGAGAGCTACATATGTAAACATCTATGTATATCATCGATTTACCTTGCAAGGGCCGCCCAGAAAATCGGGGACTATCTCCTCGTCAATATACTGGGCCAGACCGTCCTTCATGTGCTCACAATCGGGGCCATAGAACAGGAACTTTGAGCGTGTGTGCTCATCTGTGTGTGGCAGGAAACGATTATATAACAGAGGCAGGGGAAAGGCAGTGAAAAACCCACTCACCAATGAACGCGCTCACAATGGTCCAGGCAATGGGGAACACTCGAGGCGCTCGCACCACCAGCACACGTCCCATGGTCTCTGGATAATTGCGCTCCACCGTCTCGATGATGTACAGCAAGGCCTTGATGCCAGGACGCCACAAATGGCGCATAGACAGGCCCTCCAGGTCCACCAGCAAAGACCAATTCAAGATGGGTTTATCCAAACGCTCCGCAGATTCATTGATCTTTTGTATTCCCTCCTCGCAAATGTGTAGGGCCTATAGGCAGAAAGATCAGCACGAGATCCAGAGACTATTTGGGATTCGAAAACTTACCAAGCGTAAAAGCCCTTCCATGCCCAGACTCTTTAGCAAACCCTTGACATCCATGTGACCCAATCGTAGTATATAGATGGGCCTGCCATCCTTGTCGTGATGATGCCAGCCGCCTGGAAAGTGCTCCACCACCACCGCTGGCTCGGTGTACTCCTCGAGGAGCGAATCCATGCGATGCTCTTTGCGCCATTGAAGCGAGTCGCAGAGCATGGCAAAGGCCTGGCTCACGTGCCAGTCCCTGGCTGACAAGAAACGCAGGATGGTCTGATAACTGGGCACACGCTCCAGATCATCGACACCATCGAGCATTTTTCGCAGCTCCAGCAGCTTGGACTCCTGCATCGGGGAGAGCTGGCCCAGATTGCGGGCTATGAAGTCGCCATCGAGCAGGATATCGTGATGCTGTTTCTGTTCCGGTGTTGGGGACTTGGCGGCATCGAGTGGCGGCACCCAACGGTCCACATGTGTGACGCCTTCCTGCTCCAGTTGATTGATGAAATACTCAATGATCTCCTTCCCCTTGAGCGTCGTTTGTGTGTACTGCTTCATGCCCATCTTCTCCATGGAGTGCTCAAAGCCAAAGAAGTTCTTGATGTCCAGCGTGGCCGTCTGATCGAAGCACGTCCATTCGGCGTTGTCCGGATGGGCGTAGTAGCGACACCGCTCGAAGATCTCGATGCGCGAGGAGAAGCTCTCGTTGACGGCCTCGATGCTCAGCGTGCGGTTGCTCATGTCCAGATAGTTGTGCTGCAGGAAGTATACGAAATCGACGCCAATCAGCTTCTTGAAGATGTAGGGGGCATCCACAGCCAGCTTGCAGCGGCGGGTGGTGTTCGTCTTGGCCCCGTTCTCCAGCGACTCAATCTTGATGACATCGCAGTCAAGGACTATGGGCATCTGTGGGCATTTGGGGAAGCGTCGCTCATAGGCCTAGAAATATATAGATAGAAAAAGGATGAGATGAGCGTGAAACTACAGAGATTTTTCAGGGGTTTAGGGTGGATGCCTTGCCCTTTTACAGCCACTCTGTAACGCTAGGGCACAATGCCAATCGGCCTTGAACGTGGGCCAATTTATGAACATGAACTTGGCTAGGACTTTGGCCCGGACCCCTGCCCCCCCTTCCACCCTCTCGTACCCAAAACATTTGCAAAATATTTGCCAAAAATTTCCACACACACAAAAGGCTATTTTTGGTATACTCTTGCTTAGGATTTTTCCCTTAATATTTTCTATTAATTTTCGTTTGGAAAAGCTCATAATTGCACGCTTAAATATTTGAGAGCACAAACAGGTGCTATTTTTAGTTGCTCTCATTAGAGTTAGAGCATCTGTGGTTCGTGCTGCTTTTGGCCTAGTTCTTTCTTTTTATGGCCGCCAGCGAGAGCTTCTTCAGCTTTATCTCGTCGGGTGGCATAAACAAATGAGCAAACTACGCCGCATTCCCCACACGGCCATCTACAGCTACACTGGGCGAAAAAAAGGACACCAGAAAGTGAGTTTTTTGAACAAGTAAGAACTTACAGCGACACAAAGGGAATATAGTTATCTGGAATTACTTTTAGGAGTCATTGAGAATTTCCATTGGGAAATGTCTCTTCTATCCCAGAATATATTTTCTATGGAAAGTGTAGATAATTTTGCTATCTCTCTAATTGTGAGAATGTTTTCTTTAATTTCTCTAATTTTCTCTCATTGTGCAGATACTTCTCGCCACTGGAATTCTCATTAGATGATTGTCTGTTTATTGCACACACAAAAACTGTACTTGGAAAAATCGAAACACAAATTGCTTATTGCACAAAAAAGGAATTGCCTTCTAAATATTGTATGTGTGTGTGTGTGCAATTTATTATAATTACCAAATGCGGCGCTGCTGTTAATTCTCACACGGAATGTCGTGCCAGAAGCTAAGACCTCATTGATTTTTGAAAAGCATACATCCAACGGCATGCCCTAATAAAAGTTTACAAATTATGCAGAACAGAAAGAACTTCCAAGAGAGCCCCAGTAAGGCCACCAAGGCCACCCACCCACCAACCCAACCACCCATCCACCCATCCATGGTCGCGTGTCCTTTAAGATGCACTCGAAGGCCGACATTTTCCTCTGACAGGACAGGCCCTGCCCCACCGCGCCGCGCCTTGTACGTAATTGAGCCGAACTTGCTTAATAATTAAAAGGTTCAAGGCAGATTGTGTCGCCACGGACTGGGTCCGGGCCGGGTCCGCAGTGTGTCTGGGAAAAATCGAAGCCCAGGACAACTTGTTGGGTCCCGAGCCTCCATCGATGGCTGAATTATTTAGCTGCTGGAAACGTGTGAACAACCACATGAGCGACGATTTACGACCTCTGCACGGGGGCCTAAAGGTCTCGCGCCTCGGTCTTGGACAGATTTATGGTCGATTTGGAGAGTTCAAGCAACAATCCCGCACACAAACAAACCCTTCGGTTCGTCCTGCCCAACGGATGGATGAGTTGTCCTTGTTCCCGTGGAGTCATGGTATATGCTAATTGGCCATTAAAAACTTTGTCGGTTCGTTGCTTCGTTCGCTCGACTTTTACAGTGACTCAAAAACAACCAGTGGGAGAGGGAGAAGGAGAGGTAGAGGCAGAAGCAGAAGCAGATGGCAGTGGGGAGTGGGGAGTAGGCAGTAGGGAGTGAGTGTCAGTGGCACGGGTTCTGCTTTTGTTTTCGCTTTTCGCAGCGGCTCTCCTATATATAGAAAGTGTGCAAATTCACTTGGCACATGTGACGTATGGGGGCGCCGTATACGTATCGTATTGAAACTTCTCTCCCCCCCCGAGACCCCACTCGACTCGTTTCAAAGCGAAGCGCATCCGCGACTCTCGACACTCGGGAGCGTGTGTAGTGTCGCGGTGTCGTCGCTCCGAGCCAAACAAATGTCGAGGATGACCTTGATCTACCGCCGCAAATGCATTTCAGCCTATTGGATATTACGTCAATAATGCAATATTATGAATTATTCTTTCTGTCTGCTGAAGTTGCCTATAATTAATTGTTGTCAATTCGAGGAGACAACTGTAATTGAGGATTAAAGATTGCTAGCTTCGCAGTAATAAATCTCTAGATCTATAAATCTTTGTAAAGAAATGAAAACTGATTTCCAATTTCAGTCCCAAATCTTTTTCCATTAGTGATTGAAAAAAGAGTAAACAACTTTTGTGGAAATTGGATACCTGATTGCAGTATTTCACAAAAACTTTTGCTTCGAAACTGATTCAGCTTTGACACCTGATATTTATTTACTTAATTTGAAAGTTCTGCTGCCTTTGCCTGGGGCTCTGGTGAAAAGATATCCAATGTCTAGCCTTGGTATTGCCACGTACCAGTTACCAAAGAGGAATTTACAATGCCTATTGCGTTTATTGCGCCACCAAACAATTGAAACTATAATTTAACTCATATCATATCATGAATTGGTTCACTCCCCTTCCCAGTGATGAATATAATGCTCGCAAAAAAAACTGTCCAATCAGACATACACTCGTAATGCCCTGAGTACCCACATCCTCTGCCTCCACACACAGCCCAGACAGAGACAGAGACAGGGGGCACCTTTCATATGAACATTTGAAAACGTGACCACTCGTTCAGTGGGTGATAGATGGGGCAGACAGATAGATAGGTAGATAGATAGTATAATGCGATTATTTACTGTTAAGCCAATTAGTTTTTCTTTACTTGAAAGGCATATGGCATATACTATACTATCATGAATGAGTCCCATGGATAAACATGTTTCGAGTCAATGACATTATGCTCTGGACTTTTGGACTCGCCAACTACAGAAAATAATATATATTTTTTTGCTTTTAATAAATACTGATAATAAACTAGTTGCGCCATCTGTTGTGTTAAAGTTTAATTAAAGAGGGGGGGTTTTTCCTATGATAAGTTCTAGATAATTAATATTAAGTGCTTGTATAGAAAATGCGTCACAAAGTATTCGGGGATTGGCTGTTGTTTCGGTGGGATTTTATCAGGAAAATATATGTCTATGGAATATAAGCCAATTTGATGGAATGTTTTCATACCCGTATTAATACAGTCAACACTCGATGGAAGGCTATAAAAGCTAATAGATAAGATTGCAATCAAGTAAACCTCTGAAGTAACCATGTCGCAAGTATTTTACACCCTAAAACCAGTGTCCACTGTACCATAGACATTTGTATCTGTATCTGACAGCAGTACTGTTATCAGTTGTATAACGCACACACACATTCAAATGTACTATATAGTTTTTTGTGCTTTTATGGTGTATCATTTTCACTGATTGTTATTGTACAAATGGGCCATAATCGCTTATTTCCTGTCTCAATTGTGAGTTTTGTCCCATTGTGTGAGAGACAAGACGGACGGATCTTTTGCGAATGCAAATCACGAACATGAGCTATCTCTATCTCTCTCTCCCGCTGAGCTCCTCTTCATTCAATGGGATAGTGGCTTCCTCTCTCCTACCATTGTACGCTCTGAGAGAGAGTACCACGATTTCAAGCAGATGTTTGTCACAAAGGGAATAAATTCCCTGAAATTCTGGCTAAAACTGTGCATTGGCCATTATTTTTGAAGCACAAATCTGCAGTTGCATTTGTTACATCATATCAATGTTCAATATGCAATGTTTTAAGAAACAAACGATCTGTAAGTGTATCCAAATCTGCGGCCTCCAAAGCAATCCTTTCCTCTCCGCCTCCCAACCCCTCTCACTTTTCCAACAGCCTCTCGTCTTTTGTTATGAGAGCGATTTCCCATTCATGAAACTACAGACAGACAAAGAGAGCACCACCAGAGATAGAGTGAGATAGCTGGACAGAGGCGCTGCGCTCTCTCTGAGCCCAGAGAGGGGGAAATTATGGCTGTCCAAGGTTAATTTTATTTATCTTCTGCAAGGGAAATCCGAGTGCAGGAAAGATTGCACTTCCGAATGAAAATCAATCAACAGCTGCTGTTCGCATAATTAAGAATGTGTTGTAACCAGCATTAATCACGAAAATTATAAATAAAACAAACATTTCTATAGAGCAGAGCAGAGCAGTGATGGCGGGTGTGGAGGCGACACGGAAGAGACACGCCTACACGGCTGGTGCTGGTACTGCTGGTTCTGCTGCTGCAAACAAAAGATACACACCTTCATCACCAGCTCAAAGGGATATTTGTAGACCCGAACGGGGGATTGGAATTTCTGCACCATCTTGTTGTTGTTCCTGTGCTCTCAATTCACACTTGACACTGGTTAAAAATCAATTTTCACTTATTGCACTTTTCCGTATTTCGTACAGTCCGTGGGTGGTTCTCGGCCCCGTTTAACAGTTCAATTTTGAGAAGTATATTATTCCGTTTACGAGCTATACTTTCTCATGACACTTTCAAATGATTATTCACAGATTTATTTTAACACTGCTCTCAATCCGTTCTATGGTTGTATTCCTGTGCAAACAGGCCCCAGCGTGTTTGGGTCGTTGTTGATGGCGTTGCAACCGCAGCTGGCCGTGGAAAGCGGGGAAAGCCTTTCTCTCTCTTGGTGGAGCAAAACGTTAGTGATATTGTTGGAGCAGTGGAGCAGCAGCGGCAGCGACAGCGTGAGCAGAAGCGCTGCTTGCGCTATCGATGGGTGGCTATCGATGGTTTTCTGCCGTTTGCGTGAGTGGCCTGGTGGCGATAGTACTGGCAGGCAATCGATATACTATGAATTTGGAATTTATTTGAAATATATTTCCAAGTGTCGACAATGTAAAATTTCAGGAATCTCAGAAGCTGTGCTTGCCTTTTTATGTTTTTAATCTTATTAACTTACTTCCATGTATTTTTACTAATACTGAAGCCAATAAAAGTTTTGTAACTCATATTTCTAAGACAGTTACATCTAGGGTATATGTTAGAAGTTCTTTAAACTAATTTCAAAACCAAACTAGACTTGGGTAGGTGGGTAGGTATGATATATCGTGCACAACATATCACTGCTTGTGCTGTCGATACGCTCTGAGCACCGCAATCGATAGTTGTCTGCCATCCCTAGACTTTAGATGGAATGGATTTTCGTGAAATAAATAAATTGAATTGGCGTTTAAATCTTAATAACAACAACAGTCTTGTGGAATACAGCAGTGCCGTGAACAAGTACACGACTTCCGATGTGCCGGACGAGCATCCAAAACTCCTCAGACAAATCGATTGTGCGACAGGGGCCACAATGGGCACGAAACAAAAACAGGCACCAACAACACCAGCCTCAGCCTCTACCATAGGCGCCGACGATGAGGGGGGTGGTGGTGGCGCCGTGGGGACAGGAGACTGCGCTGCAGCGGCGTTGGCTGTGGCTGTGTCGGCTCTTGAAACCGAAGGCGGTGGCAGCGGTGCCGTCGGTGATAAGGCAAGTGCACTCTCGCTCTCACTCCGTCGTGTATATGCAATTTTCAGTGGCGTTTTTCTCCCTCCCCTCCCACACACAGATTGCAGGCGCGGCGGCCGCCTACTGCGCCTTGGATCTGGATGTAGCCGGCTATGGAATGGCAGCTGCCGCCGCTGCCTTATCGCCCACCGATGCGGCATTTGGTGGAGGCGGTGGCGGCGGCCTCAGCTCCAGCCGCACCTCCATGAACAACTCCACGGAGAACCTCAGCTACGCCAGCGACAACTTTTACGGCGACGATCTCATCCTGCTCGACGACGACGATGTGGAGGCTGAGGAGATATCCCTCAATTCGGACGACTGTGTGTACGCGTATCGCGGCGACGGCGCCGACTTTGACCTCTCGATGGATGCCGCCGCCATGGGACGAAGCGGACGGCACCATCTCGACTTTGGCCTCCCCGTGGGTCTTCCAGATTTGCTCGGCGCCGATGATGAAACCGAGTTTCTGGAAATGGACTTCGAGCCGGATCCCTCCTCCGAGCTGGAGTTTGCCAGCGGTGCCCAGGATCTCGGCGCCCTGCCTCAGGCCAATCTTCTGCTGATGCAGCGGGACTACAGCCAGATGAGCGGCATGGGCATGGTCACGCCCACGCAGGGCAGGCAGCTGTACAGCTCGCCCATCGATGATTTCCCCCAGGAGGATGCCCTGCAGCAGCAGAAGCAGCGTCTCAACAAAAAGTTTGCCCGGATTAGTCTCAACCTGGATCAGATCAAGGACGGCACTGGCAGTGGCGTGGACATGGACTTGGATGAATTGATTGGTGGAACAGAGGATGAGGGCGGTCAGCCTCATGGCGTTGGCCAGCTGGCGGACACAGCGCTGGCCCAATCCCTGCCCAGCACACTGTACACCGGCTCCAGCTTCAGTCGGAGCACCAGCGTGCCCAGCGATCATCCCGAACCGAAGCTGACGGGCGCCAAGCCCAAGCGACTGTCCAACTCCTCGTCAGTGATGTCCAAGAGCAGCTCGTCGTCGAAGTCGCGGCGTTCCCAGCCCTCGGCCAGCTTCGATGAGCGCTGCTACAGCTGCACGGACTTTCGAGCGACTTCCGCATCCTCCTGCCAGCAACTGCCGCTGCAGGGTGCCGATACGGTGGCTCCCATGCTGGTGGCTGCAGCGGCCGTGGTGGCCATGGCCGCATCATCCTCGTCTATGGCACACTTTGACCTGACGAGCAACAACGAGGAAAACTGCCTGGACTGTCTGGAGAAGGAGTTTCTGGCCAACACCATTGGCAAGGCCCTCGATATGAGCACCTGCACCAAGTGCCGGCGCAGGGTGGGCAGCAACCGAGGCAGCAGTCTCTCCCTCTACACCCGGGCGGAGCAGACACGATGTCGCAGCGGGTCGCCGGGTTACTTTGATGAGGCTGGTGGCCTGTTTGCCGGCTGGCATAGCGGTGCGGCTGGTGCCGGTCCCAGTCTGGGTCCCGCCTATAACCAAAGGTTTATTTCGTGTGATAATAATTTTGGCGGCGTGCAGGTGAGGCTGCTCTAAGGGAGTCCTTTATAGGGATTGTTCCTTAAATGCTTGCCCTTTTTTGCAGCTGCTCAAGCAAAGCTTTTCGACTGAGCCGCTGGTGGCGCGTCTGTCCACAGGACAACTGTGCGATGAGGAGCATCTGGTGCAGGCGCTGGACAAGCTACAAATTTCCTATGACAAATCCCTGCTGCACACATACTTCGAACAGCTATCCAAGCCGCCAGTCAGCAGTGCTGGGAATCTCAAGCAGCTGCTGCTGCAGGCCTCCAAGCGGCAGTGCAACCACCGCAAGCTCAAGAAGCTGATCGATCTGGTCACCCAGCAGCAGCTTCATGTGCAATTTAAAAGGGTACGACTAGCAGTCCGAGCGATGCACAAACCGTTTAATATCCTGTAACATTTATTCATAGACAAGCGAAGGGGAAACCACTGCTTTGGTGCCCGTTAAGGTGGCGGATATTTTGGATTCCTGGGCCCGCCATCGAGATCTCTCTGTTTTGCGGCAACTGGATGCGCGTTTCCATCGCGCCAATGTGATGGGTAACATAATAATTAGTGCTTTATGGGCTTCAGATAACTTTTGTCTTTGTAAAACCAGGAAAAGTTGGTCAAATTGTGCGCCAGGCAGCTGCATCGTCGTTTGCAGCAGCGGCTGCTGCCGGCTCCTCAACCTCAACTTCGGCGACGCGGCGCTCTTTGCCCGAGTTTCTGATGATACCGCAGTATTATGAAAGTGGAGAGCTGACATTAACGCGCAAATGTTAGAGGAAGGACCCACGCACACGCAAATGCAAACGCACACGCACATTCATCCACAGACAGAAACACGAACACCCACAACACACACTAAAAATCAAATGAAAATTGTATGCTTAGCTGCGTTTTATGTTGAAATTCCGATTGAGGAAACGTATGAGAATCCATGGAGAGAATGTAAGAATCCCCCACATGTTTAGTGTGTACTTAAACAAAAACAAAAAAAAAGAGAAAGGGTGTAACCGTACAACGTTACTCCGAAACAATTTAATCGTTAACCGAGTTTTGCAATATCGATATAGTTACAGTACAGTACCGCCCCCGCCCATTATCTATGTATATGCCACACACGCCCTCTAAACGTATATCACCTACATACGCATATACCATATATATACATATATATATATATATAAACATCCAACAATACATACATACATCATTATGTATAACTCGTACATAGCTTAGCTTGTATACTGAAAAACAAAAACAAGGAAACAAAAGAAATCTGAATAAACTCTAAGTAGGAAAGTAAATCTCAGACAGACACACACGCCACAGCATACAGCATACAGCATACACTTCAGACAGCCCCAAAGGAGAGGATCATCCAGGATATTAGTGGAAGACACAACAGGCAGGACTACGACTCCGACTCGACTCCTCCTGCCCTGCTCCACCCTCGACTCGACTCCGATTTGATGTAAAACGGTGAGAATGTTTGTTTTTAATAAAATTACGCTTTATTAATTATTAATATGTATAATCTGTACTTGCAAGCCGCTCGCTTCCACTTCCCCCACTGCTTTGTGTTTCTGTCTATTGGTATCGCTGCTGCGGCTGTCGTCCTGCATTGTAATAGCCACCGCCTGGGCCCCCAGGAGCCCCCATATTCGGGGGCATTGGTGGGGGCGGCGCAACGGCAGCATTATAATGCGTGGGCGGCGGCTGCTGGACATTCCATGCTGCTGCGGCATACTGTGGCATAGGCACTACGGGAGGCGGAGGTGGCGGTGGCGCATGGTACATGTGATAGTTGGCCTGCCCTCCTCCAGGCGGCGTGGGTCCCGACAGCGGCGCCTGCTGCTGCTGCACCACTGTCAGTGCATCGTTGTTGCTGTTGTTGATGCAGCTGACGGCGGAGGGCACTGCATTGGCCAGCGATTTGATGCTCTGTATGTTGTTGAGGTCCAAATGGTTGCCATTGCCACTGCTGTTGTTTGTGGGCGGCGGTGGCGGCGGCTGTTGCTGCTGGGCGGGTACTCCTCCTCCACTGGGATTCATGGGCTTGACAGTTGTAGGACTGTCGGCGCGACTGGGGGGCTTCTGGGGCGGACTGTTCGGTAGCTGTGCCTCCTTCTGGGTGGACTGGTATAGATCCAACACCTGGTGGCATATATCCTCCAGTATATCCATCGTCACATCCGACACGAACATGTCCCACCAGCGCTGGTGTTGCGGCTGCCGGCCCTCCCAGTCCTGGACCGTAAATTTGCTCAGTTTGCTGGCCAGATGGATGAGCGCAACGGCTATGATCTCCGGCTCCCACTGCAGACAGACGACCGTGCTGAGGGAGTCGTTGACGAAATTCCAGGCCATTTGGACCATCTTCTGTAGCTTCTGCTGGTCGCCCTTGAAGCACTTGGCGTACTTGAGGAGAAATGTGTAAGGATGCTCCACCTGCAGGTCGAACTTGATTGTCTGCAGCAGAATGCGCTCCAGTGTCATTACCTCCTCCTTGGGATCCTCCCCAAACGAGTAGAAATAGTTATCGTTGAGGATGCCGCGGGCGGTTTTGATGATGTCGCGACACTTTTTGGGCGTCTCCTCCACCTTGCCGGCGAAGAAGAGGCAACAGCAGGCGGTGACATAGCGTGGAAAGCTCCTGAACGAGTGGAACATGTAGAACCGATGAAAGTACACCACTCCGGTGGCCATCGTGTTGTGGCCGAGT